AAAGTTGAAAGTATCAATTTTCCTTGAAAATAAGCTTTCCAAAAAATATTTTTGGGGAAAAGTTGAATGTATCAATTTTCCTTAAAAATAAATTTTCAAAAAAGGTTTTTTTTTTTAGGAAAAGTTGAAAGTATCAATTTTTCTTGAAATTAAAGTTTCCAAAAAATATTTTTGAGGAAAAATTGAAAGTATCAATTTTCCTCGAAATTAAAGTTTTCTAAAAAAATATTTTGGGGAGAAGTTGAAAGTATCACTTTTTCTTGTACAAAAGTGATCATTTTTTTTATTTTTTTGGATTTTGTTTTATGTTAAATAATCCGACGATGGAGCCTCTGCAAGTGAAACAGTAGTTTTATTACATACTCTTGAGGTGAGGGAATTTTTTTTAATTTTCTGCTAAAAGTATTAGAGTCAATTGAGAATAATTTCAATAGTTAATTACTTGGTAAAATTTTAAGGCTTATTGAATAACACAAAATTAAGTTGGTACCATCTTTCGATGGGCATTGTGAGGGTGCTATAACTTTCCTCACACGTAACCGAACTCTCGAACCCTGTTCTGGTTAGTAGACCCGAACCTATTCTTTTAGGAACCCTTAAACTTAGGTGTTCCCTAAAAAGGATAGATTTCTTAGATGGCCAATCATACCTAGATAAAAAAGATTTGTGGCGACTCCTTAAGTTAATGTTTAGCGATAAATCCCCGGATCTAGACATTATGACAATACACATTCAAACTAGGATTTTCTTGTAAACTTAAAAAAATTAACTCTAAGTAGGATAACCAAGTGCTATTTCTAGTCATGGTAGGATTTCAAGTCAAAGTGGTATTTCCAAGTCAAAATAGAAAAACCTTCTTAAAATAGGAAAACTAATGATGATTTGGACTTTTCCAAGTATGGAATGAATTTTCAAGTAAACATGCCACATAAGCTTTCAAGTCGTCTTTCTTGGCCATGAGACAGACTTATTGCCATGTCATCCATAAGTAATCCCATACACATGCATCTTCATAAGCTACCATAGACATGCATTCAACTTGGAATTATGTAATTGTCCTTTATAATGGCTGAATCTTTCTTAGACAATTCTTGAATGAATTTTTTGAATTTTGCAACAAAACTAAACAATTTTTCACTTACATAGGGTTGGCAACACTAGTGTTTCATAAATTCAACATTCCAACTTCAAGCTTTCCAAGATTTCCAAAAATCATCAATAACACATCAAGAATAGTTCAAGAATCATTCAAATATATCAAGAATCATCAAAAACAGGTCAAGAACATTCAAATATATCAAGAATCACCCAAGATTGATTAAGAACTTTCAAGATTCTTCAAAATTAAATCTTTTCTTTAAGATTTCCTATGAAACAAGAAATTAAGCACATTATGAGTTAAAAAAAATCTTATTTTACAAAAAACAAAGCAAAAGTAACACATTTAAGCATCTATAACATCATCCTAAAGATCATATAAACTCTCATAGTCAAATTCTCTAAAACCTTAAAAAATTACATGATGAATATAACTTAGAGAAAATCATAAGCATAGATTAAACACCAAGACTTATTCAAGAATAAACTCCCTTCCAATTGCAAGGGAATTAACTCCATATACCTAAGTCAGCCTACAAAACTCAAATGCGTATGCACTTAAAGAACATTGAAAGGCATAATACGAAAGCTAGGAACACAAGAGAATAACTGGAATGCTCTGCATATTTCACAAATGATGGATAATACAAATGAGGTTTGGATGGCCTTTTATTTATACTTGAGGCCCCAGCACTGCTATGGTAGTTCCTAATATCAAGGGATTACAAGTTTGAATTCAAATTAAAACATTATCTCCCTGATCCTAAAGATTGATTAGATCTTCCTTTAATTAGGCATGTGCTACTATTCTTCAAAAGAATATTCTCAAACCTTGACCCTTTCTAAATGATTCTAGGTTTGCACCATTCTCCTGGGCCTTTCTTAGTGTGGTGCAAGTATGTTACAGGCTTGAACCTAGTGCTTCAAGCAAAACTGACTGTGGGGTAGGTAGCCTTGATGCTTCTAACATGACTATCATGTGAACCTCTGGTTCTGTCTCTGGTGCTCAAGCTTTGCCCGTTGGTGTTTGATCCTTGGCTCTTAGTGTGCTCACCCGATGTATGACATTCTCCCCTACCTGATCTCGTAATGCCTTTGTCATGTCCTTTACGTGGAAATGCCTAATCTAGTCTTAGAACTGCCACAAGTCTTCAGCTAGTTCCTAACTAGCTTCACTGTCTGGAAGCCCCTTCCATTACACTAAGTACTCTTGTCTTGGTTTATAACTCTGCTATTTCACAACCTGATCAGTAAGAATGCATTGGACCTCCTTATAAGGACTAGAAGTATCCAAGGTGGGTAAAGTCAAGGTGTGCAAACAGGAAATTTAACAAATCACCTTAAAGCATGCATAAATTTCATAAGTTTACTTTACACATACTCTCTCTACTTCCACACTTAACCAAGGATCAAAAAGTCTTTATTAAATTTATAATGTAAAACTAGAGTTAAGGTATGATAAAAGAAAATTTAGGCTCATAACCCTAAACATGCATTATTTAGGATCTTTTTATTTGATGAAAGAGCTTTTAAGAGAATTGTACACCCTTGCTCTTATATTTATCTTTCTTTTTCTTTTTTGTCAACTCTTCTCCAAACTATATGCATTGTCACTTTAACTTTATTTTTCTTTTTGTTTCAAGTTGTTTTTAGCCTTTCCTATTGCTCAAACATACTTTATCCCCTCTCTTTTTTTTCTCTTTTTATTTTAACTCCACATTTTTTCCTAGTATAACATAACTCTCATATTTTGATTTATTGATTCATATGTACATAGGGTAAGGTAGAAAAATAAAGATAATAAATCAAAGGATGGCTACTTCATAAAGGTAAAAACAAATAAAGGGTATATATATTAGGCTCAAAAGAGTGACAAAGGATAAAGATATAAAGGTTAGTTTGAAAGGTTCAAAAGATAAAAAATAAAATAAAAAAAAAAGCCTAAATCATCTTCTTAATTAAGTATAGTATATGATTTCACCTCAAGAGATGCTCAAATAAATTCTAAAATAAGCTCATACCTTTAAAAATCAATTTAACTTCAGATATACATAAACTTTAACAAAACATACATGCATCATAATGATCAGTACTAAATGTTCAATAATGGTGCAATGTCACAATTGAAAAGAAACTAATTCAAGAACTTATCTCATGCTGTTACTACATTCATTTTTTTCTAAAAGCTATAATCAAAGTCAATCAATGTTACTATCATTGGATTATGAGAAATAATCAAAGAAAGCGTATATAATGATTCAAAATATGGCCATTTATGCTTAAAATCAAAATTTTTGAAAAAATTTTGCACAAATTTTCTCTCTCCACTTGAGTGACACATTGTCTTCGATATGTAAAATAGAACAATAAAGCATAAAAGAAAGAGAGATGCTCCCCTAAACTTCAAAGACTGATTCTGTCTATATAGCATACTCCTCATTATACCACACACCTCATTGTACCAAACATCGCTTGTTAAATAAAAAAATAAAAAAATAAAAAACTTAAAATTGGAAATATTTATTTTCCTTAAAATTGCACTTGAAACCTTTTAGTTTGTTATGAAGCCAAAGAAATGCATCACTTTGACCATTTAAGGTTCGATTATTGGTGTCGCATCCATGCCAACTCGGATGATTCATCATGTTTTCCCAACTCAGTTCTCTGAAATTCTTTTCTATTCCTATCTCCTTCATTGGGCCTCATCATCGTCCACTTATCTTTCTATTTTGTTCAACTCGATAAACTTAAAATGGATGTGTTAGAGAATAAGGAGTTATCATATTAGTTAATGTGTCAACTCGGTAAATTGACTGAACTTTAACTCTATATTTGGCTTCAATTTTACATTGGTAAAATTTTACTTCAGCTAAAAAACCTAAAACAAAAAATTTAACAGTGGACTCAAAGTTGTAAAATCTTGAAAAGATTTTAAAATATTATCATAGTATTTTATCTTATCTTCTATATTTTACTTAAGAGAAGATTTAAAAAAAAATCCTATAAATTTGGTTCATTTTAGGATTCAAAGTGATTCTTCTTTTACTTAACAAATGATTGACTCTCTTACAAAAAAAAAAAAAAAGTGTAATGAATAATTATGACAGAAAAGAAATGATTTAATCTGAGATTGCCCCACCTGTACCCTTGAATATTCTTGGCCACATCAATTGATTCCCATGTTGTCATCACACATTACACCATGGTTAGAACCTTCCTTACCAAATTGCCTTTCTCCAATGCCACCGGCTCAGGCCCTGCTGCCATTTATGACTCAGAACAAAATTCTAGCCAAAAAAGAAAAATACTCTGCAGAATATTATGTTCTCATTTTAAACAATTAATCCCTGTAATGGACTGTTTCCTGTCAAATTTATACGAACAGAATTAACATTTCATTACCAAGTCAGTGTTTACCTTGAAACAATTCAATTCATTTGATCTTGAAACATTTAATTTAAAGACTTTTTAGTCTCAAATAGTTAAGAAAAGCGTATCCTGCTGTAGGAGGGGGAAAAATCCAACAGCATGCATGACCAAGCAAAGAAGGAATGTTCATAGATTTTCCCAATGACTGATTTTTTATGAGAAATACAAGGTAGAGGTTAAAGACTGACCAAAGAGAAAATAAGGCAATGCCCATCACACATTCATAGCCTACATTGGATGAGATAAGGTCATGGAGCTTCTTCCACGTGGCACGTCATTGTGGTTCCAAAGATAAGGCTTACCATTCAAAAATTTTCCACCCTCTTGTGGTTGTTACATTGTAATGTCACCCGATTTTCAATCCAATGGTCACCCTTTCTCCAAAACCAACCTCAAAATTTTGTCACCATAGGATAAGAGACAGCCAAATTTATCATTATATATAGGATATTGCACTAGGGCAAAGACACGATGAAGGGAGTGAGAGTTTTGCAACTCTAGTTCTAGCATACACTATCATACTAGTAACCACAGCTAGCAATGGCTTCCTCAATTATCTCATCGGCAACCATTGCCACCGTTAACCGTGCTTCCCCAGCACAGGCCAGCATGGTCGCCCCCTTAACCGGCCTTAGGTCTACCTCAGCTTTCCCCGTCACTAAGAAGGCCCACAAAGACACTACTTCTATCGCAAGCAATGGTTTCAGAGTGCGATGCTTTAAGGTCCTTGGTGAAAACATATCGTTTATTCTTGAAGTTTGGTTTAATGTTTAATGGGAATTGAATCAAATTTTTTGTGTTTTGAGTATAGGTGTGGCCTCCACTTGGGAGGAAGAAGTTTGAGACTTTCTCATACCTCCCTGATCTCACTCAGGACCAGTTGCTTAAGGAAGCGGAGTACCTTCTTCGCTCTAAATGGATTCCTTGCGTGGAATTCGAAACGGAGGTCATTTCAAGCTCTGCAATCTCTTCAAATTCATCCCTTTTATGCGACTTGCGTTGATAATTTTGTATGTTTGTTTTGGCATGTGTAGGGCGGATTTGTGTACCGTGAGAACCACAGGTCACCAGGGTACTATGATGGTCGCTACTGGACCATGTGGAAACTTCCCATGTACGGATGCACTGACGCTGCTCAGGTGTTGAAAGAGGTTGACGAGTGCAAGAAGGAATACCCCGACGCATTTATCAGAATCATCGGATTCGACAACAGGCGTCAAGTGCAGTGCATTAGTTTCATTGCCTACAAGCCTCCACGCCATAAAAGCACTTAAAGCTTGATTAAGAGTTGTTCCCTTCGTAGGGACTCAACTCCATTTCTTTAGTTTCTACTAGTGCTTCTCAAAAACTTTCGCCTTTTGCGAGGTATTAATTGGCCTTTGTTTTTTGGATTTAATTTCAATGGAAAGTATGGCTGAGAACTAATGAATAAAAGGTTGTTTGTTGCCAAATTTCATGAACCCTATTCTATGAATTTCAATGATAAATGTATTAAGATGGCATAAAGAGGGAATCGTAAAATTGCAATACCAGAAATGTTTGCAAGAATAGTGCTGATTAAAAAAAAACAAACAAACAAAGTGATTGGCAGGTGTTCTTTTTTAAGAAGAGGATAAAATTTCTGTGGACAACAAATGCTGTTCCTTCAGCATTATCCTTCTTGAATATTGAAGGCACATACATAATCTGTTAAATTGTTCTATAATGGCAAAACAATGCTTCCCAAATAGGTTTCTTTCCTTCAAAAAGGCTAAATTCACACACACAGACGAAGATATTCTCCAGCTATAAGTTTCAATTCTTTTACAAACACTGTTGAAAACCAGATGATACCTTAAAAGAGACAAAAAACAGACATTATATTTTATATTCATTTGATCTCTTCAGCATAAAAAATTTCATCCATTCAGACATCGGCTTCACAAATTTCAATCAGAACTTCAGTTTAAAGGACAAAATGAACATCCCTAAAGCTTAATGATCCAATATTGTATTGTGCAATGCTTAAGCTCAATCTGTGTCACAGCAGTATGTATGTAATGGGGTTGGTTTGAAGAGGTAAAAGGTTAGGAGCCACCCACTATCGCCTGATTTTTGGTTTCCAATAGATGAGACCTGAGTTTAATTAGTGGACTATATTTTCCCATCCATCTTTTGATTTAGTAATGATAGCTACAATTGTGGTGGTGCTCAAAGATGGATAGAAATGCAGATAAGAGTTGACTGCTTCTTCATTGTTATTATTGTACTGTGAAATTTTTGCATCGTTAACTGTTAAAATCTCCTAATCCAATTCAAATGCACAAAGGAGGCTTTCAAAATTGTCCCAAAAGTTTAAGCTGACACAGTGTAAAAATAATAATAATAAAATAAAAGAGAAACATTTCAAGAATCTAACTCACAAACTCTGATTTTATGTAAAATTACAATAATTATTATTCAATATATTGTCAATATAATTTTTGAGTTTCACAAATGAAATTAAGAAATTGACAATTATTTCATTTTTTAAATTTTTTTAAATATATCTTAAAGTAATTAACATTTGGTATTATTTTTAAGATCATCATAATAATTTAATTATCGAAATAATTGTATTACTAAAGTAATTTTATCACTCGTTATTTAAAATTACTTTATTTGATAAATAGTAATTAATTCTTATGAATTAAAAATAATTGTATTTGATATTACTAAAAAATCAAATATTATTTTATTTGAAAATACCAAAATGATAGTGCATATTATACTAGTTATGCAAGTTAATGATTTTAATATTGTTTAAAAATAATAATTTTTAATATAGTAGTAATATTTTTTATTTACTTTATAATAAAACATAATTAAATTATTAAAATAAAAATATATTTATTGATAGGTAAACTAATTTTATAATATAAATAATGAAAATATATTTGAATTAAAAAATAAAATTAATCTATTAAAATCATAACAAAAGAAAAAAACTTATATTATACATAAAGCATTAAAAATATTAAGAGAAAGCACACAAGCTATTTTTAAATTTGTTATAATGAATATTTACTTGAAAAATATAAGAAGTTATAACATGAAATAATTTTAATTTTAAGAGAAAGTATATTTTTAATTCACATATTAAATATGTAATATTAATTATTATTAATTTTGTATATCATTTCATCTCGATTATAAAAGTTTTCATCTTTTTAGTTGGGAATGAGAAAATCCTCCAAGGTAGTGATATGCTTATTTTGGATAATTCAAGATTATCATCATGTAAAATCACCTGATACTTATCAAATATAATAATTTAATCATTATGTGTGAATTACCATTATTTTTATAATGCTCACTCTGTATCAAATGCTACTTAAAGAATATGTATCACTTTATCAACTCTTTTTGTAAATTTAAAAACTATAAAAAAAATTAATGAAATAATTTCTCAAATTGAATAATTTTTATTATATTAAATTGAACGATCGATTGTCCTGAAAACTTGAACAAATAAAAAAAAAAAAACTCAATCATTCCAGTTTTAAATTCTAAGACAATGGTTAAATGAGTGGTATTTATTCAAAGTCCTAAGTTCAAGTTTTTCATTTTTATAAAGAACAATGAATTAAAATGAGTGATATTTTGTAGGTTCTCGAAATATCTCATCGGTTACAATAATAATAATAATAAGTTTTATTTAATTCCCTGGAGACAAACAAATTAACCAGCTAGCTCCATATTTCATCCAATGAAAACTTAGAAAAATAAATAAAAAAATTATAAGAAAATGACTGGTATCTCATCTTCAACGAATGCATTGTCAACCATATCCAGCCCCGAGCTTAAAATTTTCCTCATTATCTTATTAGTCTCTTTCTTGTATAATTTGGAACAAGTATCTTGCTGTGCTTTGTACCATCCGATGATTGAGCCAATTGAGGGGCATGACATGAGGGCATGGCCCCTTCAAAGCTCTAACAAATTTTTTGAGTAACTTTATCTAGGCAAAGGCAACCTCAAACCTCGATGCTAGTTTTGGTTAAAGGTTGTCTGTGCTCTCTTGCTAATGTTAGGTTAAATTTGGGATAAGGAATAATTTTGTCATTTTAATTAAGGTGAAAGTGGAAGGTTAAATTTTGTTAACTGTACTTTGATTTTATTGAATTTTATCACTAAACTTTTATTTTTGGTTGAAATTTTGCTATTATACATTATTTTTATGTTTAATTGCACATTTAATGAAAATACAACCCGTTAATTATATCAAAAATAAGTTTTGAAATAAAATTATTAAATATGATGTGAATATGCCACATGTAACAAAAGTGCTTAAATAGAGTAATGCCACGCTAGAATAGATTTTTTTTAACAAATTTTATACTAAAATAAAAAATTTTTAAATATTAAATTTAAATTAAAAACTAATTTTATGTCATTAACTTTTTTTAAGTAAATGTACAAAAAGTAATTAGTGAAGAAAAAAAGAAAAAAAATTAAAATAGTAAGGATGCCTATTATCATTTCCCATTTTCTTTCATTACTTTCAAATTGTAAATACTTAATTTTGTCCAGAATAATTCGATGATGCTCAATTGCAAGTTAGATTCAAAAATATTAATTTTGATCATTTTGAGTGTTTTGGTTTCGTATTAAAATTTGGACTCGTTTTTGCATTAACTGAAACCCAATTTAATATTTTTAGGTTAGTAGAATTTGAAAGCCCAACATGAGTAAATATCATTTCTTTTTGGGTCACAACATAGACCATTATGTGACCTAAATTATAAACTGAACATGGCTTATTTAAAACACCCAAACAAAGACCCAAGGTTGTTTTGATGGACCAAAGCTTGGCCTTTATGAAAGAAGCCCAAAATAAAAGAATTGAAAAAAAAAAAAAACTTGGCCCAAACATGGAGAGGTCGAACGCAAAAGGAAGAGAAAAGAAATAAGGCCTATGACTTTGAAATCCATTCAGTTTTCTTGTAAGAAAAAAACTAACATGGAATATTCATGAAGATAAATGGCTATAAAAAGAGAAGAAGCTATAGGTTTTAAAGAGGCCAAAAAAAAAGTTTTGGTAAAAAAAAAAAGAAGGTTTGAGAGCTGATAAAAAAGGAACAGGTTTTGTGGCTGAAAAAAGGAGAGGGTGTGGGAAGGGGAAAAAAACACACAAAAAAAAGACTTTATTAAAGAGAAAAGTGAGAATTTTGCCAAAAAAACAAAAAAGCAACCTATAGGCTACTTGAAAAATGGGGCATTTTTATTCCTCTTGGCTAACTTACCTACGTGAAAATGGTCATATTTCCATATAAAGTTTAAGGCATAAAATGGCTACTGTCTTTCCATATAGGGTTTACGTGAATGAAATGTTTATATTTGCTTTATATATCAACAATGGTGGATGTTCACATTTGATTTTGAGGGAGCCAATTAAAAGTCTAATACTATATATATTTCACTTAACTTATGTTATTTTACTCACATAAGATATAAATGCAAGCAATATACTAATAAAAAATCACAAGCTTTTAAAATCATAAATCTTATCAATTTATAGATAGAAGTATAGGGAAACAAACTATATTAAATAAATAATCTTATCTAAAACTGTAAGCGATGTTCTTTTAAAGAAACAAAATTTTCAAAAGTTGAATTTGAACTAAATGTTTCAGTAATTTCTTTTTCAATATTGACAACCAAGTTATTTGAACTAAACTTTCTTATTAATTCATTTGATAATTTAAAATTAAAATTTTATATAAATAAATCAATTATTAATATTATATTTTTAATCAAATATGATATAACCTAATTGACCCTTCATTTTAAAAGTTAATCTGGCTTAACTTGAAATTTTATGTGATCACCTAAAACTGAAAATCCAATTCCACCATGAATCAATCCATCATGTCATTATTTTTTAAAAAAACTTAATATCAAGTCATGTTGGTTGTTGCCTAACCTCTAGTTGTACTAAAATCAATCGAGTCATTGTAAAAAAATATATACCAAGATAGTAATTGTTATGTATAGAGCATTAACAAAGTATCAAGAAAAAAAGTTATCATATGTAGCTAAAAGACAAACACAAATAGATTATATAAAAATAAAAATAAACTGATAAACTAGCTTTTAACAATTTTATATATGCTTTTTAAAGGTTGAAAAGTTAAACGGCAAGTAAGAACAAATAGGGCTTAAGAAACTTTTAAGAATAAAAAAGAAGTTACAATAACTAGGTCAAAGAAAAAAATGTCTAAATTTATTTCTTTTTTACTCAATTGAAATTGTAAATTAGAATTTAAGAAGTTAAATTTTTTTTTTTAATTTATATGATTGTAACTTAATATTTGGGACAAACCAATTAACATTAAATATTTGTGAATAATGATTAGTGAGTAAAATAAATAGACAAATTTTAATATATTTTAATCTTTTAATTTAGGGGGGGCTAATTTAAATTTATTTAATATAATAT